AACACTAGTCGTAATAATATCTTTATATATAAAAAGGCTTAAAAAATGTTAAAATATAAAAGTAGAGATAATTTAAATTTCAGTAATATTTTTTTAATGCTTCTTTTTGCTTTTAAAAGTAGCAAATTTTAATTTTAATCTGGCAAGCAGCTATGCCTATCGCATAAAAGCTATTTATCATCCTCAACAAGCGCTCCACAGGAGCACTAGAGGAAAGGGGGTATTATATTTTACAAATATATATTTTTTAAATCGTTATCGAAAAATAATATGTCAAGCATGTTATCTTACTGATAATCAATTTGATTGAATTCAGAAAAATCTTATAAATCATTGGCGAATATTTTCTTTGTAATCGTACTTTTTTATTAAGAATATTTTTTCTCCTTATAAAATTGATTTTTTAATTCTCTATTTTGATATTTGCTTATACATTCCGAATTCGATTTGAATGCAGGGTGGATAATAGTAGGAATGAAATTATCATCATTATAAATAATTGAAAATCCGCAATAGTTATTTTTAAATATATCATTTATTTTTATAAAATTATAAATCTTTAATCAATGCCATGTATAAGAGATTGTGCAAGACATTAACAAAACTCTAAAAATTTAAGTTCCTGAGAGTTAAAGTGCTATGATATCCCATAAATTATCAAGAATTTGCACTTTTTCACTTAATATTTTATTTGCAATACACCCTGGATTCATAATATAAATTCCATCTTGTGGTATTTGCCCTTATCTGATATCTTTTCATTTATTTAATTATATTAGATAGCTCCATAAAAATTGACACTTTTGAACTGAGCTATCTAATTTTAAATCTTTTATTTTCTAAAGCTTTCTTCGCTTCAACTGTGGCCACTAAATTGATATTGTGGCAGGCAGCGTTTAAATGTTGTGATAGAAAATCATAGCTTTCTTATGTTAATCTATATCCACAAGTTGAAAATCTTCATCCGTTTTAGTAATTTTACTTTCAAACAATCCACCTTTTTAGAAAAGAAAAATATTTAATTTAGGATGGAAATTTTATTTTATTCATTTAAATATCTGTTATTAACATCATATCGTCTTCCATGGTTTTTATGATTAATAATTTGCAGAGTTGTTAAAGTATCTAGATATAAAAATGTATCTGTATCTAGATATAAAAATGTAGTATCTGTATCTAGATAGATTTTTTAGAAGGGTATCTGTATCTAGATATTTTTTTAGAGGTATCTTTATCTATTTTTAGATACTTTTTAAGATACATTTTATATACCCCTTTTTTTATTATAAATAAAAATATTTGACTGTAAAATTTATTTTATTTCATATGAGCTTATGAAATAAATAAATATATATATATATATTATATATTAATATTTATTAATACTATAATAAAGAATTATATATACATAAAATATTAAAACTTATATATAAAATATATATATAAATATTCATTAATTTAAATATTATGTCCGAGTTTATCAATAAACTATACAAATTTTAATATTACAATATGGAAATGGTAAATTTTATTTTATAACTAAATTTTTAAGTTTATATATTTATTTAGATCTATATCGATGAAGAAGAGGAAGCAACAACAAGTTCTATTGCTTTACCATGGCCAATTTATAGTTTAAAATAATATCTCAAAACAAAGAAAACAATTCTCTGATGGTAAAATGTTTGCCGTGTCTACCTAAAAATACAAAAATATCCATCAGTATGACTTCAACGTGCAATATCGTGAATCACATAAGGGTATAGATATTATATATTTAAAATTCTAATTTAAATTTTAAGAGAAAACATCCAACCTTGTTAACAAAAATAAAAAAGGGGAAGGAAAATAAAACTACCAAAGAAAATATTGGACAAGGCTCATCCTCCAATAATATTTTTGCTAAAAGACCTTTGACTTTAACTCAAGGCACTTTAGATGATTTAATTATTGCTTTTATTATAGATGGCATGCAGCCATTTTCAATTGTTGAAAATCTTTTAAAAAAATGAGTAACACTTTGGCTCAACACAAAAATATAATTTGCCGACAGACAGTTGTTGGTAGAATTTCCCAAAGATGGGAAAATGAAAAGAAAGAAATAATTAAAAGTCTTATAGAACCATCATTAATATGCACAACAGCAGATTGTTGGAGTGCCTGTCGCCGGTATAGCTAACATTTAAATTTGTATAATAATTAATTATAAATTATTCAGCAATTTTAAGAAATTTTAATTTTTAGTTCATACATAGGAGTAACCGCTCACTATATAAATCCAATAAGTTTGGAAAGAAAAATATAGCGTTGGCTTGTAAAAGAATGACTGGTAGTCATACATATGATAAAATAGCAAAAAATTTACAAGATATAGCTAAGGATTATTGCATTCAAAATAAAATTTCAAAGATCATGACAGATAATGCCAAAAATTTCATAAAATGTTTTAGGTTTATTTTATTATAAATAAATATAAACATAATATATGATTGATTACTTAATTTATTAAAGAGTTTTCAAGCCAATTGAAAATAATACAAGTGAATCAATTGATGATCTGGAAGATGAAGCAGTTGTGCCAATTTCTATATCAAATCTTTATAATACTGCACAGGATTCTGAATTATCAGAATCATTTAGTTTACCTCATCAGTCACACATTGAATCTTATAGCCACTGTGGATGCCAATAGAGCCATGCAGTGTAAACAATATCAGAGGGTAAAACTAATTTTAATTAAATAAGTAATATTTTCTTCATTAGATATATAGCACAACACTACATAAATGCCAAAATATATGGAATAGGCAAAATAAGTCTCCTATTTCATCTGAGATTATTAAGGAATATATTGGTCGTTATTTTATATGTCCTAATATAACTAGATGGAACTCCACCTATAATGCCTTACATTTAATGTCAGAAATTATAAAAGCTAAATCTGACAAAGTGGACAAGATATGTGATGGAATAAAACTACCTAGGTTTTTACTTAATGAATGTGATTTTATTCATGAATATTGTTTAGTAAGTTATAAATAATAATTATATATATAGCATTATTTTAAATTAGCTAATGAAGCCAATAGCTAATTCCCTTGATATTTTGCAGGGAGATAAGTATATGTACACAGCTTATTAATGTGCAATTATTTCACAACTTATTATCAAATTAAAGAATTTTAAAGAAATGAACCTGAGATTCTGTTTATCACTCTTAGATGCCTTACTTAAAGGGATTGAGGATAGGTAAATTAATATAATAAATTAAAAATATTTAATAATTCTAGGTTTATTGTGACCTTATTTGAAGATGATAATATTATAGCAACCATGCTCCACACTTTTTTTAAACTTGATTGGACATGGTTGCAAATGGAAGAAAATCTTAATAAAAGAAAACAATTGATACAAAGATTAGCTGGTGAATTATCAAAGTCATCAACTGACTGCAAGCAAATAACCTGCCAAAAAAAGCAAATAATTTAATTTCAGATTTTTTTCAGTACCCTACAGCAGATATAATTTCTAATAATGATTTAAATTTTGATAATCAACAAATTTTAAATAATTTTTTCAAAAATGAATGTAGAGATTTTAGCATTTTTAAAGAATACCCTGATATAAAATTGTTATTTATTAAATATAACACAATTCCTTCAAGCGCCCCTGTGGAAAGACTATTTAGTGTTGCTAAAAATGTCTTTACAGATAAACGAAGATGCCTAAATGATCAAAATTTTGAAAATATTTTATTACTGAAATCTAATAATTATTTAATCATATATTATATTAAAATCATTATTTTAGTTATATTCTGATAAATGTTATATCGCGTCAATAAATTTTTTAGCTCATTTCATGAATTTTCACAATATAATATTAATTTAGGTTTATGCAAACCTATAAAAGCATAATAAAAAATGTATCTGTATACAGATACATTTAAAAATTGTATCTGTATCTTGATAACTTTTTAGACGCTGTATCTGTATCTAGATAACTTTTGAGACTATGTATCTGTATCCATTTAAAAAGTATCTTTTAACAACTCTGATAATTTGAGTTTAAAAATGACGAAAATAGAGAAATATAAATAACAACTCGATTCATCAACATTTATTATAATTAAATAGTTTCTTAAATTTATAAATATATATTATTGTTATTATATTCAATAAATACATTAATAACGATTATTTTTTAAACAACTTATTCAATAAAATAAAAGGAGTGGAGGAGCCCGCACCACCTCAAAAAAGAGTTAGTTTCCATTTTTAAAATGGCGGTGTTCCAAATGTTTTTTAAAAAATGTGGCGGCTCTTTTTAACAACACTGATTTTAAAATTTATATTTTTCATCATTAACTTTGATAATTTAATTATGCTTATCTTTTCTTTTACATTTACTTTTCCTATTGATAATTTTAAATTCCTAACTCCTGCTTTTTTAAAACTTTTCTTATTTTTTAAATTCATTTTATAATTGTGATATTCAATCAGGCAAAAAAAAGAATTCTCGGGCAATTAGCCAGGCCTATATTTAAGGATGTTACAACCAGGCCAGGTCACTCATGGGCTGGTCTTTCGGGGCTCTATTAATTATCTTAGTTTGCGTGTTTTATAACTGTGATTTAATAGTTTATTTTATTGATCATTGCTAATTGAATTGATATAGATATTTGTCGTGACTCATTAATCCCATTGATCGAAGGCCAGCTCCTATCCATTCGCTGTCCAAAGGCTGCATCCATCTTCCTTACTCACTCCTGGACTGAAGGCTGGGCTAGGATAAAGTTATAACTATCATATATTTTTAATTTAATATTTCATACAAGAATAACCAAATTTTATTCTAAAATAAATAGTTTATTTATGATCTATATCGTATATTTAATAAAAAGTATGTTGACCACATATCAAAATCTAATCACCGAATACTATGATAACATTCATGATCAAAATATAAAAATGTTTATGTATTTACAAATGAGTGAAATATTAAGCTTTTTTGAGTTTTTGAAATATAAAAGACATCAAATCAAGCAATTGAAGTTCTTCATCAGCTCCATCTAACAAACGATATTCAACCTCGGCACATTTTTCCAAAATAGCGCAATTTGCATTCAAAATATTGATCGATTCTTGAGCAGAGCTCTCATTGTTAATTCTATGAGTCAACTGATAGATCATTTGTGTGACAGAATAGCCAGTTCGCATAAACTCCTTGTAAAATAAAGAGAAAAAAGAAAAATAGAATAAATATAGAGCTAATGAGTGTATAAAATATAAATATTATGACAGTATTCACTTTATTAGGTATATAAATATTTCCATAAATAAATGCGTAATATTAAATTTGGTAAAATTTTGATTCATTCTTGAAATATTGTTTCGTTTACACCTTCTCTTTATTGTAAATTATGATAAACGCTAACTAATTTTCCCTTAGTCAAAGTTTTCAAGTGATTTCGATATATTTTGTTTATCAAAGATACCGCGTTTATAACGAAAATTTCGTGCATCACCGATTTAATTATCGCCACCTTGCAGGATTTCTAGTTCTTTATCATATCAAAGAATACATTATTCGTGAGATATTGTCCTTGACATTGGGAATCTAAGAAGTAGGTAGCATTTTAGATCATTTTTCTTATTTCAAACATATTTACAAAAAATTTTCTTCTGATATCCGAAGCGCGACCCTACAAAAATTGTGCTCGGATCTGGCTCGGATACGCATTTTCTAAATTTGAACTTGGGTCGGCTATCGACAAAATCACTTTGCAAGAACTCTACTTATAATTAAGTGCTAATTCATCTTCAAGAATAAAAATTGGTGAATATTTAACAAAAGAAAATAAATTTTCAAGGGCTATAAATTTAAGAGAAAAAAATTCTGTCGCAAGAACAGATGATAACCTGATGAAATTTAGGATTTGATTCTTGCCAAAATTAACACTGGCATTATCTTCACAGAAGAAAAGCTTATTATTTTTAATAAGGTTTGATTTTTCTAAATCAGAGTAAATTTTTTTTAGTATGATAAAATAGTGTAAACGGAATAGTAGAAATTTGATAAAATATAAATATTTGTAGATTAAGTTATTGCATCATACCCCCCCCCCCCCAGGCCAATTATTTAATTAAATAACTTTAAGAATATTTTCCGTGATTCAAGGAAATCTTCTATTCATGCCTAATCATTTTTTTGATAAAAACCTGTCATGCCTCAAAATTCATTCACACTCACAACATGACCAATTGTGTCAAGGAGATGTATAAATACATGAAAATACCTAGTTCATTTCCTATATTTCGATGATTGACAGGAAATAAATTCGGAAAGCCTGTTGACCTTAATTAAAACAATCAGATTTGATTATACTTAAAATGGTGAGTGCCGTTTTGGATTGTGATTAAGGAGGGATTGTCAACATGCATCAGATTAACATTTTGCAGCATTTGCATGACAAAGTATTAAACAGTATTTTTGACAAGTGGTTGCTTTGCAGAATTTGAAAATTCAGTTGTGCTTTGATATATTACGTCCATTCGTTTTTAGCAGTATTCAGAAATTGGTTAGGAGTAATATTTTGATAATAATCTAGGCTCAAAAATGCCTTACAAAAAGAACGAGAATCGGAGTGGATATTGGAGATCTCAGGGACTTCTTAATTTCGATGGTGATGTAACTTGATGCCAAGCAGGCGCGTACGCAGGAATTTGGTCTGTGGGGGGGAGGGGGAGGATAATAATTTTTTTTAAGAAATATTATTGTTTTTTAAAAATATCAAGCATAAATTTATTAGGACTAATAACTATACCTAATACACAATTTTAAATTAATGTGAATTATAAAAAAATTATATGTAAATAATCACTTAAATGACCCAAAATAGAAATTTGAATTTTTTGAGCCTTTACACAAAAAGTTTCTTAGGAATAATTGTATTTTGTATGTTATATATTATTGTAAAATCCAATCTTTGTTTGGGATTGAGCTAATTTTTCAATTATCTCATATCAAATGCCTATGAATATTCAAAAGATCCAAACCTTTCAATCTACTTTCACATGTTGTACTTCTTGGTATGTTTCAGAGACCAGCAGGCCCGGCCTCTGGGCCGGACAGTATTTTAATTATTTTAATATACCCGGGCCGGGCCCAAAATTTTTTTCCAGGACCGGACCTGAATTTTTTTAAAAAAACACACAAGCCGGGCCTGAATTATTTTAAAAAAAACACCCAGGCCGGGCTGTATTTTTTAAAACAGCCTATATTTGAAATCGTTATTATTAGCTATAAAAATCAAAAATAAATATAATTTATTTTTAAAAAATCCGGGCCGGGCCTGAAAATTTTATTTAAAAAAAGCCGAGCCGAGCCTGAAAATTAAAAAAAAGCCGGGCCGAGCCTGAAAATTAAAAAAAAGCCGAACCGGGCCTAAAAATTTTTTTTAAAAAGCTGGGCTTAAAAAAACCCAGGCCTGGCCGTTAAAAATCTTTAAAAAAAATCTGGGCCGTGCCCTGCAAATGGTACTTCTGCAGGCCTCTGTTATTCTTCTTAAAAAAGAGAGTGTTCTCTTATTAGTTTACTAATGGGAAGAGTTTATAAACCCTTTTAATACATTGGTAATCTAAAATGTGGTTGAAATAATGCAGAGCATCCATAGCATTTTTTGGGACTATATCAACTATAGTTAATCTTATAAACATAGTTATTCAGCTAGTAAGGCATCATAAGATACTTTAACATCTTCATAATAAAAATCTAACAAATATTTTTTTTTCTATCACCATCTGAAAAAGGTAGGGAAGGCTTTTGTGGAAGTAATATTTGCAGATGTAAGTGCTGCATGATGAATTAAAAATTCATTTATTTGGGTTATAAATGTTTCTGTATTTAAGATATACTCTTCTACTGATCATATATTAATGTTTTAACGATGAGCTTGCCTTGCTACAAGTCAGGGGAGACAAATATTAAACACGTAATATATCTGCTTTTGACTCAACAATAAATAAAATATAAAATACTTCAACAAAATTAGCCCTAATTTCCTTGAGTTCTGATAAAATGCTCTCCGCTATTCTCATCTTCTTAATCAAATCAATGTCATGTTTTTGAAAAGTAATACTTAAAATAGTTGTATAATTAAATAATACATTCTAATGAGAAATAAAATTTGGAATAAGCATTGAATCCAATAATTTTCTTGCTTCTGAGGAAATATTTCTTTCAGGCCATTGTGATATTTCAGTAATAGCAAATAATTGGCTCTTCTCTTAATAGCTGTTAGTGCTTGATGGAAGAGGCTCTATCTCGTTGGACAAGGTTGCAATTTCTTTTTCCCTGTTGGACCAGAAGTTTCAGAAATAATTATTATTTGAATAGAAATTTAAAAATGGTAGATAAATATTACGCCACTTAAAATTTGAAAATAATAAGTAAATATTACGCCGGAAAACTTAAAATCGAAATTAATTGATAAAATAAGGTATGAATGTGATAATAAATGTAATAAAATATATATTTAATATGAGATACGAATAAATATTAATAAATATAAATTAATATAAACAATAATATTTTTTAGGAGATTCAAAATGAGATCAAAATTTATAACAATTGAATTTATTTAAAATTTAGTTTAAATCTATCATTTGTATTTAGAATTAATTTTTTTATATTGAACAAATGTTTATATTTTTTTAACCCTTTCGCGCCCGACTTTTTTTCCCTTGATGAAAAATTTTTTTTTTAAGAGATACTTATTATAGACACAAATAACACATTTTTATCAAAAAAACTTATTTCGAGTATTTCTATCAAAAAATATTCAATGATTCCAAATGTCATCAATGGGCAAAATGCAAGTTCATTTAAAAAAATATTTTATTTCATATGAAATGACAAATAACAATTTCGTTTATTATTTAAACATAAATAAATATTACACTTTTGACACGTAATTCTTGAATATGCATCTACGCAATACTTGCACCTTTGTTTAATTGTTACGGGCTTTGGGAAATGACCTACTTGGACATATCTTATATCCGATATGGGGACAATATTTATGGCTTTTCTTCTCTTTACAACTATACTGGAAGATCTTCCAGTCTTCTTATTATTATCCTTTCTTGCTAGCATAAGCCCTTTTGCTATTTGAGATTTAAATACCAATAATGTCATAAATTCAGTGGCGTAGGCATGGGAACCCCCCCCCCCATGAAAAATGAAAATATATTTTTTTTAATTTAATAAATTCTTAATAAACGTTTGATTTTTATGTTTTAAAAATAATAATAGATATACACATTTGATTATTTTTATATTTATTTTTAATTTGCAGCTATTTTACACCACCGGGAGTTATATATTCAAACGTATCATAATATTGACTCAAAAAATCAAAAAAAAAACTAAAAAGATTTTGTCCGACCAGATTCATCGAAAGACAAGAGTCGGTGAAACTCTTTATTGAACTATATGATGTTGTCTTTGCAGCACTCGAATTTTATATATCAAGCAAGGAAAAAGATTCAGCAGATGCCGAAAATCTTTTGCAGGCTATTATTAAGCCACAGTTTTTAATTTCAATTCAATGTGTTTATTTTTTATTTAATTATACATATGATTTTAGCAAAATGCTACAAAAAATTGATTTGGATTTAAGGGAGATTATGAATAGAGCAAAGGATATTGTTGAAATATTAACAAATAAGAGAGAATGTGGATGAAAAATTTCATGAAATATATGAAAAAGTAAAGGAGATTGCTAATATGTTTGAAATTGAAATTTTTAAACCTAGAGAGACAATCCAATCGATCAAATATTGATGCATCTACGATTGAGGATTTTTATAAAATAAACATTTTTATTCCCCTTATTAATACATTTTATTTCAATTAAAAGAAAGATTTATTAATCATTATATTTTAAAAAGCTTTTATTTTCTTTTGCCGGTTGAGTCTAAACTATTGATTACACTTGAAACATGAGAGGATATTAAAAAAATCTCAGAGTTTTATGCTGATGATTTAGTAAGTTCATATTAGGGATGTACCGATATTTTATATCGGATAGGATCGGGCCGATATTTCGCTCATTTTAAAATATCGGTTATCGGCAAATATTATAAAATTTTCCGATCCGATATAAAATGGCGCTTTTAACAAAATTTAAAAAAAGTTATATCTAAAAAACCATTTATTTTTA